TATAATGAGAAACCTTTAAAAAGCAGTTGCGTACGTTTTCAAAACTAAAATTTATTTATACTTTTTGTTATATCTTTTAAGTAGATTAATAACTGTAATCCTTGGTAGTAATATCGATTTAGACCTTTGATGAGAGTTATATATCATTATAATCATTGGGAAATATTTTTATTGTCTAGTCTGTTACTTTTATAAGAGTAACAGAGAAATATTCATTTCTTTCTTCTAAGAACTTAAAACACATTTCAGATTCATTATATTTAGATTTTATGTACAGCTCGTTGTTTTAATGCACGTATTGTATTGCACGATGTTAAAACTGGTCTCCTATGGGGCAATGTTTTTACTGCCCCCTTGTGCCCTTTCCCCGTCTAATAGCACATACTTAGACACGATGTGTATCAAAATCGCCTCATACGTTCAAGTTCGGTAACGTTGAACAATACTGCGGGTACACACTTAAAAAAAGGACAAGTAGTGGAAGACAAGGGTACAAGGTTAGATTACCTCCTACTCGTATTACGCGTTGTTATTGCCGTTTTTGAACCATAACACAGAGCAAAAGTTGAAGTAGGAAAAAATAAATGGTAACTGAAAATAATTGAACGATTGTCAGCTATTTGCGGTCAAGTGTAATTATATTTTCTCGAGAGACAGAAAATCGTCATTACAATTTCGAGATGGGCGAAGGGAAAGAAGAAATGATGGAAGACAGTACAGAAATAAAAAATAATGTACTTGTATATAATATAATAGCGCGGCGATAAAAGTCGTGTAACCTAGTGATTGTAACGCACAACCGGTTTGAATGATATCTCGTGTATAAATATACTAGTCTTCTTTTATTCTTATTCTTTTTAAGTTTTTTAAAGATCATTTATCCTTCACTTTGTCTGGAATATACATCTTTTTCTGTTAAAGACATTATTAAACTCATTAATATTTTGAAATTGCGAATTTTAATTTAAAGAGAATTTTATATAATCGCTTAAGAACGTGAAAATTTTATTTACATTTCCAACACGTGACGATTTATAATTATTAAATCAATAAAATTGTAGGTACACCTTAATGAATTAACCATTGTGCATTGAAAAAACATATTAATTGGATAGGTTTTATTTTTTATTACAGTTTTTTTTCGACACTATTTAATATAAGAAAATACGTAAGATTTTTTTAAATTCTTTATTTCATATATACGCAAGTAATAAAAAATATTTAATTAATTAAAATTTTTTATATAGTAGACATTTTAAATTTCATAGAATGTCAGTTATTTCTACTCGTTTATTTTAATATTTATTATTATTCATAACAACATATCAAAATTTTTAAAGGAATCGCATTTCACTTCTAATTATTTAATCACTATTTTATTTAAATATCTATTTATAACTTTTTTACACCTGTCGAAGTTATTACGGCGTAAATGGATTAATGCTGAAATATTTATCGCACATTTTTGGTATTATTTTATTTTACTCGAAAAAAAAATTATATACTCTGATATTTTTACTCCGATACTAAGTATTGTTATTGATTTTTATTTCTTCATTTTAAACAGTAATAATAGTGTATAGTTTTAATGAACTATTAATTATCTAGTCATATTTTTTAAAGATATTGCATGTGTTCAAATACATAGTTGATCATTTTTTTTTTAATATATAGAATGTGTATTCGAACATTAAAGTAAAAAAATATTTAATTAACATAATGGTGCATTTTTGTTAAAAATACAAAATAATTGTAGGAGATTAAAAAGTTAAGATCCCCATAATTCACAATTTTGATTCATCTATATAGGTGTTCTGTAAGCAAGGAAACGGTTTTCTATTTATCCCATTGTTTATAACAATTGACCTGTTTCTTTACTTATTGAACACCTTGTATGTTTTTACTGTGGAATAGTATTTTATATTTAAATATACCAACACCATAAATGATATTCAATTACACAATAAGTATATCTAATCAAGTGCAATTTGATATTGACGTACACTTAAAATAAAAAATAATTTTTTTTATTATCGCATATTGATTTATAAAATGACCTTTATCATTTGAAAATTAGGATTCAATTATTTTACATAACATATAATTCCACCTTATGTGGTTGTCATCACAATAAAAGAGCCGTGCATCTTTGATTCTTTTATTTCCAACGTTCCAGAGGTCATGTTTTATGATGCATCATTTATGAGACAGAATCATCTCTTTCACTACACCCGTCAGTTTAGTGTCCCTTCACCTTTTCACCGTGCGATCTCGTCTAACTCACCCGCGCTGACCTTATCTGCTAAGCCCATCTGATTTGATTTATAATGTCCAGTATACGAACAGATGAGAACCTGCCAGACTCTGTAACCGGAACACATTATTAGTATCACGCCCCTTTGCGCTGCCAACACGGTCGCTGTCCGTCACATGGGCCTAATGTTGGGTCTTTCTCGATAAAATGACCTTGTAAGGCTATTATTACTTACTATTATACAGACAGTTACCGATGAATACTATAAAGTCCCTATGTATACATTTGATTAAAATTCTGTTGCAGTTTTTTTAATTTCTATAAAAAAAAGTTGAACTTGATACTTTTTATAGAATGTACTGTTATCACATAGAGGTAAATTGCCATAGATGAACTGAAAAAACGTATAAAATATAATGTTAAGTTTTCAAGAAAGATTTTATAATTTTATTCCAAAACTAATTTTTCATTTTCGATTCACTTGTAAACAATTATTATATGAAATGGATTTTCATTGTATATTATTGTACGTTTCCATTATTTCGTTGTGGTGATGAACGTTGTGGTTTAGTTATATGAATACTTTCATAAATAAATTATATTATATTTTACTTGGTACAATAATCTTAAGATCCAAAAAGTAATTTTAAAGTTATACGATATCATCCTAATCTTATTTATTTTAGTCATGATGCCTATGGTCGATTGAGAGAGTATAATAAATGGCAAATAACAATAAATTGGAATTGTAAAATCGTTTATGATTATTTTTTGAAATACTGTGTTATGTTGTAGATGTAAGTAGGATTATTTCAATGTTAACTAAAATGTCAACAGATGGTCACAATTCTGGAATAATGTTCAACGATACATGTTCATATTAACTTTTGATAGCCTGAAATGGCTTTCTATTTGCACAAAACCATTTACCTAATTAAACAGCGCTTTCTCAAAAATATCAACTCCAATATTAAATCTATATAAACCTATCTTTATTATAATATTTGAATATTAAACATGAAAACTTAAATATGATACTCGTACCGTGTCCTTTTGACTATATCCAATATATATTAGGTAGAAACGATAGAGCAAGCTAGTTTATGAGCCATAAAATTTGTTGCACCTGTAAACGTATAATGTTTAATAATTCGAGCATAAGATAAATCAGAAATATTCCGGCTATGATTTTTTGACATGAGAATAATTGGAGTTTTAAATAAAAAAAAAAAATAGAAATTTAAAACGGTTTTTTTTATTTATTAATAATTTTCAACAATTAAATACATTATCGACAAACTTGACATTCTACCTAATCAAAATAATTGAAGTTTTGGTTACACTTTCTTATGGCACCTAGTCAATAACCAGCGAAATAAAGTTTCACATGTTATTATTTTATGGCAGTTCGTTAAAGTCTTTTTTCAAGTTACCCCAATTTTTATTTGCGCATAAACAAACAAAGATTATAGCTTAAGCAACTCTTTAAACAATAATTATATTTAGCATGATGTATAGTAGACACATATGAACGCCAATGTAGATGTATTATGTTTTAATTTTCGCATAAGCCTATCGTTCTTAACGACTATTTATTATTTCATGTCACCTGATAGTCTTGTAAAAAATATGATATTCGTTTATTAGGTAGAAGAACAGGAAGTATAAAGCTCAACATATTTTTTCACGTGTATTCGGTCGAGCTAAACTGTTAAGTGCCATTGGGATACATAGAGTCGATAACTTTTACTAGTAGTAAAAAAACTAAATTTTCAAGTATTGAATTTATGACAAACGCGTTATAATTGTAACATAAGTTACTTTTTACGGTAGATCTTATAAATTAAAGAAACGGCGTCTATAAAAAAATAAAACAATTGAACGTTTTATCCTTAAAAAATCAAAATCTTAACATTCTGTCAATTGTCAGCGTATTGCGGATTCCATTTAATCGATTTAACCATTTCATTTCTAAGCGAGTGTTTAATTCGTTTTAACTAACAAAGCCACAATAGGTTTCCATGCGACATAAGTGAGCCGAACGAGGCCGACTCTTCCTCTCTGTTTGTTCTTTTCTTTGCTGACACCGCTCATTGCTAAATCACTGGTAGCTACCGCCAATCACGACATCTGCATCTAGTCGGGACCCACTAGGACGACAATTACAATAATTATAAGGATGCTGCGAAGTTTTTGTTTCGGTCGCATCGTGTCAACGGTTTGCGTGCTCCGTGTGCTGGTTAGAACGTGTTATCACGTAGAAATATTGTAATATTATTGTTATTATACAGAGAAGCTGCAGGAGGTGCAAAACGGCGGTGTTTCACGGTCGGGCGGTTCTCACGGAACGGAAAACAAAGAGGAAAAGGCGCCGGTGTATGCGACGAAATGCGTTGCTTAGCGCGATCTAGATTCATGTCGTCAGAGGCATGTCGTTGTTGATTTTTTTTTTGTAAGTTCACGGACCTTTGGCCCGTTGATAATTACCGACTCGAATCGTGGTTGATTCCTGGCCTCATTAACCGCCACAACGGGAAAAATCCTCTGCTACCCCGCACGCTCGTTGATGGACCGTAACTATCGTCCTCTGCTTCGCAGACTAAACACCGTCACCGACGTACCGCGTCGAGAAGAACCGCATCTTTAACTTCTACGCCTCCCCTCTTACCCCCTAACGAACGTGCTTCGCGGTTCCGTACTTGTCTAATTTTAGGATTTTACTTCACGACTGTGTTTTGTTTTCCAGTTGGACGACGCCGCCCTGCAACTCTACAAGGACGGCGATTTCGGATCGTACTTGGATATGGAGGCGTCCATATCGGAACAACAAGAGGAGTTCGATGGATTCCAAAACGAGTGAGTAATACTTAGAGTTACTTCGATTCACTTGAATTAGTAGCTTGAAACGTTAAGGTTAAGTGATGCGTTCCAAAGAAACACTATAAGAAATGATTCCCGAAAATCTCCTTACGTCAGTATGTTATTTCAATATACACGTTCATTTTACGCACAAGTAGCGTAATTTTGACTTAAAATATCGAATATACGTACACTAATATAACAATTTTGGCAAAAATTCCCCTTACATTATATGCATTAAAAACTTCCTATACGTTTATGTGAAAATTTTTTTTTTCAAGAGTGAACCTTAAATCTGTTACGTTATACGACAAACCCAAAAACACCGACACTACTCTGAAAACAAAATTGATTAAAACTTAATCCATATAATTTAGTAGATAATACTAGTTAATATTATTGTCAATCAATTAATTATTAGTAATTACAAAACAAGTTGTTAATATTGTATATTATACAAAAATTATTTATTTTCTTTTACTTAACATTTTTAATAAATATAATGTGTTATTGATAAAAAGTAATTATTTTCTGTTTATTTTTATTTACCATATATTGAATGGCCAAACAACATTTTTAAAGCTATAAAATGATCACTATTAATAATTTCTTAATGGCATATAAATCTACATAATAACATTTTTTTAGATATGTTAAATTTCATGTTAGAAAAAAATGTATTTATTTAAAATTTTAGAAAAATAATATATTTAAAATTAATAATATATATATATATTAACATATAAAAAAACATACCACAGTAATTCTCATCTACTAACTAAATTATTGTAAAGTGTATCTTTATTTTAATGTTATGTTGAAATGCTCAAAACTAAAGACTTTATCTTTATTATATTAACTTCACTTAACCAAATAAAATGTTTTCATGTATTATAAATTTGTTGGTCAATTATTTTGAATTAAATACATTTTAAGTATTACACGTTTAGAAGTTTGAGTATATATGAAGTAGTAATTATTAATCTAGATAGTAAAAAGAAAATAATAATAATAATAATACAAGATGTGATTTCATAGTTTTTGCATGAGCTGTGGTTATTTTGAAATATAACAGAGAGATCTCATAAAACGTTTAGATCTTAAAAACGGATTGGATTTGAATTTTAGTCACGATTTTAGTTTATTAAAAATGTTATTTTGTATCCCACGGTAATTTTTTGCCATCAAAATTTACTGTGCATACATTTATCCAAACTTATTTTTCATTTTCTTTAATAGGCATAAAATCATTTAATGTATTTAAGTAAAAATTTTATGCATAAAACAAAATACGGTTCTTTTTTCAATATTGACACGAATATTTAATTATTATTAAAAATAAAAATATTAATTTATAATTGACATGTCGTAGTTTATGGTGTTATTGAATTTATATATTTTATTTGTTGTTAAGTATATTTTTAATGTTTATTTCAGTAAAAGGAACTCGATCGTTCTACGCACGCAGTTGTCAGTCAAAGTACACACAATAATTGGTGAGTATTTCATAAATCATAGACGACTAAAACACATTTACACGGCAGGATTACCGACAATCAACATTTTGGTACAGTTAAGTGAGCCGGTATTGTGTGCGTGGAGAGCGTTATGACCGACGGTCGTTTCGATTGTGTATCACACGATTTTTCAGTCGTCTTTAAGTTTGAATAAAGAAAATTCTCGAGATAATATTATTTGTAACTAATAATGATGAGAACAGTAATAATTGCTCTCATTTGCGCGGAATCGTCCACGAAAAACGTGACCCTTTGTATATATTCTTATTGTATTTTACAGACAAACTGATAAACTCTGAAGGAAAGGAGCTAAGAAGATGTTTGTTCGCGCTGAAGCACATATTCCAGGTGAGCGTTCACGTTATGGGTAGCACGTTGCAACAATAACCCTTTTGTGCGCGTGTTTGCCTGGGGCACACGTCTTGAGGTTTAAAACAAATCTGTTTACCGTGTGCGTCAAGTGATTAGCATAGCAAATAGTCTTAAGTATTGCCAAGGCGCCCTTTTTATTAATAAACATAAGAAGCATTATATAAAATAATTAATTATCATACTATTCTTTCTTTTAATATACGTTACGTATATTGTAGGAGGATAAAGATTTGGTTCATGAGTTTATTCAAAATGATGGTCTCAAATGTCTCATTAAGTTAGGTTCAGATGTTGACCAAAACTACCAAAATTACATATTAAGAGGTAATTAAGATATATACTAATAGTAATGATATTTTCATATTTGTGTTAAACAAGTTTTTTACTTCAGCACTTGGTCAAGTTATGCTATACGTAGATGGTATGAACGGTGTCATTGAAGATAATTCAACAATCCAATGGCTATATTCATTATTAACATCAAGATTCAGGCTAGTAGTTAAAACTGCATTAAAACTACTTCTAGTCTTCATTGAGTACGTCGAATCAAATTGTTTGATCTTCCTACAAGCCGTCCACACAGTACATCAGTCTAATAGTTCGTATATTAGGCTACTTAACGAATGTGTAATATTATTCCAATTAATTTTTAGGTACTCCACTGTGGAGTAATGTAATGAAAATACTTACTGAACCCGATATGATTGATACTGAACTTTTGGTTTACGCGATGACTTTAATTAATAAGACTTTGAATGGTATACCTGACCAAGACACTTATTATGACCAAGTTGATGCTATTGAAGAACAGGGTATGGAACAAGTCATTCAAAAGTATGAAAATGTTTACTAGTATTTTAATTGTTGTTGTATATTACATTAGAATAATTATTTTTAGATACATGTCAAAACCTGGTACAGAACTCGATCTCTTAAGACAGCTCCAAATATACGAAGTTGTTTTACAACACGAAGATGGTGATAACAAATCAACTCCCATTAGAGTAGACCATTCTATTAGGTTAGCATTAGATATTTAGATATTTATTTTTATAAATTTAATTTAATGGTAAAATTTAAAAAATATATCAAAATAAATTTGAATAGGAAAACTTTAAGGAATCGAAAATCCTTAACTTCTTCATTAGACACAATGGAAAGAAGAAAATCTAGAAGACATTCAGCCGGTAATTTGTCAATTCAAATGCCGTTACTGATGGAAAGACTAGAAATTAATTCACCGTTACCGAAATCAACTAATAAATTACCTCATCCAGGTTTGTTCAATAATCAGATTCCAAATGAATTTGCTTTAATTGTCCTTAACTTTTAAATAAAATAAAAACTTTGTCCTTGCTTTATTTTAAATTAAAATTGAATTACAATATAAAAAAAAAAACCCGATTTAAATCATTTATTACACATGCTTTAACTAATTTAAAATTAATATAAGTATGTTGTGATCGTCCTTGTGTAGCTATTTTTTTTTCGCTTTACATCAGGGGAAGATGCTGGAGTTACTCCTGGCTTAAAAAGAAGGAGAGAACGTGCTCAAAGACAAAGGAGCATGCTTCGAGAACAATATAAAAATAATATTTCTCGACCAGACTGGTCAAGTACTGATGATCAAGGTAAGCGCTTAGCGTTTTTAATTGTTGTTATGATCCGTCGCATAAAAAATGATAATCACAAAGTAACACATAATTATTATGTAATACAATTGTATAAAAAATATTATTTTGATAGGTGAAAGTTCCGAAGGGCAAAATGGATTGTATCCTCTTAATTTGTCACTTTGTAATGGAGAATCACAAGTCCAAAGGGAGAGTTCGGTTAAAGACTTGACACAAAAATTAACGAATCTTCGAAGTCCAGATGAGTCTCCGACAAAACTTGCACCTCCTCTAGGCGACATGAAAGGAATAATATCAAAAGCCATGGAAGGTATGATAATCATATATAATTCATAAATATAAATAATTTAATACATACAATTATTGCGTAGGACTTGCTAAATCTCAATCAAAAAATGAGATGGTAAAAAGTCCTACTTCAGAGGCATCCGTTGATATAGTATCTAAGAAGACTGAAACAGATTTACATTGGGAAAAACTAGTTAGCGAATGTGATCGTTCTCTTCAACTATGTGATTTGGACTTTTCAACTCTTCACTCCGATGATGACACAGACATATTAGAGCCATCTTCATTGTTGGGCGGTGTTCCTCCACCACCACCACCTTGTCCTATATTACCATCAACACAACAACATGTTGTAAAAAAAACTAAGAAGACTGTAAAACTATTTTGGAAGGTAATTTTTTAAAACTTTTGTTTTCCATGTTGACATCTTAAATAAAATAGTTTAAATGATATTTTAGGAAGTTCGAGATGATCCGATCGCTAGAATTAAATTAAATTCCGAACGTTTGCTATGGGAAGATCTCAGCCCAGTTGAAGTTGATACTCATAAACTCGAGCATTTATTCGAATCTCGAGCTAAAGATTTTATTACTAAGGTATGATTCTTATTATATTTTTTAATAACATAAATTACATAAATGTTAAAAATTATTGCTGTACATTTGGCATCATGGTTTTGGGTAACACAATAAAAGTAATGCATCTGGTGTTTTGGAAGGTGATAATATATTATAACTCTTGATGTAATTAAATTAATATTTTATAACATTGATCAGTATAGTTGTACTTGGGAAATTTTTATTAATTTATTTATTTAGTAAAATATACCATACTAAATAAATTTTATAATTTAAATATTGTACAATATCTATCATCTTAATAAGAAAAACTAAAAAAAGTACTGATTTTTGAAAATTGAAATTTCATTTTATAATATTATGTTTATTAAAGATGAAGAATTAAAACCTTATTTAACCAAAAATTAAATTTACGTCATTTTAGTTTGTTCTTAACATAACAAAAATAACTCTGAAAAAATTTAATGAACTATTGTTTTTAATTGCCCAATCTAACACTAATAAAAAATAACAATACAACTACCAAAATTTTTCATGAAAATTTTCAATTTCTTTTATAAAATAGAAAATTAATAGAGAGTTCAGGGTATAATTAAATTACTTAAAAAAAATTTATTGTTGATCAATATTATAATATAATAATGCTTAATAATCATTGTGAAGCTTGTTAATCATATTTTGTTTGTTTAATGCAACAAAACTGAAAATTCATGGATTGTACAAATGATTACAGGAGGTAAAATATTTTTTTATGCTTATAATTGGTGGTAGATATTTTCAAACAAAAGCAATTCTCATAAGTAATTGTGTTTTAAATTTTAGAAACAACAAGAAATGAATAAAACTAAAGAAGTTATTGTGTTAGATCCCAAAAGATCAAATGCTATAAATATAGGCATGACTAAATTACCTCCACCTAGGTCTATCAAAGCTGCTATATTAAAAATGGATCCAACTGTTATTAATAGAGAAGGGATAGAGGTAAATACATAGGTACTATTATTATCGTAATAACGAGTGATTAATCATTCCGAAATGTTTTAATAGAAACTCATGACTATGCTACCGACTGAGGAAGAACGTACAAAAATTCAAGAAGCACAATCATCTTGTCCAGATCTCCCACTTGGAAATGCAGAACAGTTCCTACTTACACTAGCATCTATATCAGAGCTTCCAGCTCGATTAAAGTTATGGTCTTTCAAGTTAGATTATGAAAATATAGAAAAAGAAATAGCTGAACCACTAATGGATCTTATGCAAGGAATAAATATTTTAAAAACCAATCAGACCTTTAGAGCTATATTGGGCACATTGTTGTCAGTAGGTATATTTTTAAATGGTACAGAAGTGAAAGGTTTCCAAATAGAATATTTAGCCAAAGTGCCAGAAGTTAAAGATACCGTGCACAAGCACTCTCTTCTACATCATTTATGTCACATTGTTATGGATAAATTTCCCGATTCTACAGACTTATATTCGGAGGTAAAACGGCATTAAAGTGTCGCAGCATTTCTGCAATTTTTTGTTTAAGGCATTTTAAATAATTTGTTCTTCTGTAGATTGGAGCTATTACGCGTGCTTCTAGAGTTGATTTCGGTGAAGTAACTGTCACATTATCGAGAGTCGAACAGGAATGTAGAGCTTCTTTTGATCATCTCAAAACGATTAGCAAACACGATGGAGCATTAGCTATTAAAACTAAGTATAATGTGTAATAAAACTCAATTAAGGTTCGTTATAGTTATATTTAATGGTTTTTTAGGATGTCGGAATTCCTCGCCGACTGTGTTGAGCGTATAGTAGTGTTAGGTAAAGTGCACCGACGAGTGATGAATCGTTTCAATAAGTTTTGTCTTTGGCTCGGAATACCTTTACACAAAGTTCAATTTACAAAACCAAACGAATTGTGTCGAACGGTATCTGAGTTTGCTTTAGAATACCGTACGACACGAGAGCGTGTCATTCAACAGCTCCACAAGAAGGCTAGCCATCGTGAACGTAATAAAACTCGAGGCAAGATGATCACCGAAGTTGGAAAAAACAACAACCATAATTCAGCCGACACAGAACTCCGGCAACTGTTGGACAAAGATCCTTCTAGTAGAATATATTCTTGGAGAAATCAAGGCCGTCACTCAATTGGTTAGTTGAATTTTTTGATAATTATTTTTACGACTGACCCGCACTTATGCTAACTTTGGTTTAAATTGTTCAATTAAAAAAGCAAATACAAATGGTGTTAACTTGAATAACAATGATGACGAATTAATTGAAAGTCTTGTGAAAACTGTTACGGCCACTCCTGGAACCAATCCGAGAACAACTCAGAGAGAACGAAAACGAACTAAGGACGCTCACAGAAAATCACGTCAGTACTCTTAAAATAATAACTTGTTTTTTAATAAATTCGAAATATTATAAATGTATATGTTTGATAAATCTAATAGTCATCAAAAGGTCTCGAACTAGAGATGCTATATCAAGGCAAAGTAGCAGTCATTCTCGTAACTCGATGTCGTAGTGTTGGTAATTTCAACTTTGTGTATTCGGCCTTTTCGTTTGTGTTTGTGTAGTGATAGTATATTCTGTATTGTATAAAACTTATACAGTATTAACAATATTTCATATCAAGCAAAAAAATAAAATATCATGGAAAATAATCTGAATTCATGATGTTCAATGTATATTATTTGTTTCACTTTAAAATGTAAGAATTTTCCCTTCATTCATTCATTTTTCTGATTGCCTTACCTGTTCTATGAAGTGGAATTAAATAGTAACTAGCATTTATTTTAGTGAACATTTTTTTTTATTTATAGAATATAACATTTTTAATATCATACTATTGTGCGTTTCATCATTTTATTTAGATATTTAATTTGCTTGATAACCATTTGTGTTTTTATGAATGATTGAACTGTTAATAATTATATATATATATATACA